GCAGAAGGATCAAAGCTTCAAATACTTCTTAGAAATAAGGCTGTATATTATCAAAAAGCCTCTCTCAAGAGGCCTTTTCTAGGAATACTGAGCAACAAAGTCATTGTAGATTCTCTAAAGCTTGCCTCTGACCAAGACGACATGTTCTTGACCATAGCTGGATTTAGGGATCAGTTTGAGTCTGCACCATGCCCAGCGTTGGATCATAAAGGCTCTTAAATTTATCAGCACAGGGCTCTGACCAAATAATAACATCATACAAAGCCTGCTCTCTCACCCAGCCTCAGGGCTTGAACTAAAGAAGGAAGAATCAGGAGAGTGGAAGTAATAGAAGACTGAGGGCCTGTAAGTCATGTGCTTACGGAGGCTCTGGCTCATCATGAAGTAGATAAAATAAAAAACTCAAATGAAAAGTCAATGTAACTAAGCTTAAACTCATCTTTCACTATTATTCTCACATGCTCCACAGTATAAGTAGATGTTGGCAAGGATCACACAAAAGGAAAAATAATAATCACCCAGCCTTCAGGCCCTTAGATATAATATCTGAACAAGATGAGCACTAACAAATGCAAACAGCACCCTTTTCTGTCTCCCGTTACCCAAAGGTGTGGTGAGGTTAAACATCTTGAAAAGATTCTTTATCATAAGTAGAGCTGACAGGGATACCTGATGAGAATGGTAATTAAATCAAGAAGTAAATAAACAGTTGGATCAATGTTCTTTACTTTTGGTGGCTGACTTAAGAAAAAGGGTTGACTTATAAAGGTAGATATTTCTTTCTCCCAACCATAAACACAGGGTAGCTTCACAGGCTTTCTCTTTTTTTAAAGTTATTTTGTTTCTCAACAAATGCCAGTTAACCATGTTCTATGTGCTGGTTAGTGTGTGGTTTTGGGGGAAAGTATGGTAAAAAGAGAAAAGGACACAACCCCTACTTCCAAAGAGCTCAGAGTCTGGTACCTAAGGCCAAGCACAAAATGTTGTGATTTTTTTTAAGTCAGCAAGTTATGTTCTCAATTATGAAAATACCAAATGTCAGAGTCTTCTCTAGTCCAAGCAATAATGTAAAATGAGCCAATTCATCTGAATCAGACTTTTTTTTAATGAAAATTATGACTGTTGAAGCTTTTCTCCTTAATGCCAAATTATTAGAACTCAGAGGAAAACACAAGGTCAATTTATCATGCTCCATATTCTTCCCAGGCACTAACCACTGTCCCAAAGAATATAAAACGAGCCATGCATGCAATTTTAAATTTCCTAGTCACCATACTTAAAAAGAATAGTAAAAAAAAAAAAAAAAAAATTATTTTACAAATATATGCAAAATAACACCCCTTCGACATGTGGCACTAGCCACATTTCAAGTGCTCAGTGGCCACGTGACTAGTGGCTACCATATTGGACAGCACAATTTCATTCTCTCCTCAACCTTCACCTTCCACTAAGTGAAGAGAGCAAAACATTTGTTGGAGACAAGTTTACCATAGTTATGAAGATACATGGACTCCCACACATATTTCTCTCAATCCTATATCTCAACATCAAGAGGTTATAGGACACTGTGATGGCAAATGCCAGAGAGAGAAAATGGCTCTACCCCGTAAGGATCAGGAAAACCAAACAGGTTCAAAGATTAGTAAAGGGCAACTCTGCCACTTTACCCATTGGAATATCAATATCATCACATATAGAACCTAAGATTCTACCCTCAAATCTTTTGTGACATAAATTAAGGTTCATTTCCAACTCTAGTCATCAACACTTCCTTTTCCCAACCCCGCTATGGATCCTCTGAAAATAATACAGGATAGGTAAAAATTCAGTAAATGTGCAATGCATTGATGCATGAAGCTACGAGGAAAAAAAGAGGTGTGAAACACTTCACCTTTTCATTCCTTCTGATATTGTTCCATGGATATGGAAAGTTCTGTTCTCTTGTCAAATAATAAAGAAGTCTCCATCACTTCTTCCTCCAGGATAGGAAGGGATGATAATGGCTGACATCCATTAAACCATATGAAACAAGGAGAAAGATCATCTCCCAAATTATCTGGAAGAATGAGTGAAGACCATGCCACTCCTTCCTACTTTCCCTAGTGTTGTGCTTTCTGTTGGAAATTTGGTTTCCAAGGTGGGCCCCAATCTCTGTTTTTTTAAACTGGGTAAAAATACACAAAACTAGCACTGTCACTCAACTCTCTGGAGCCTCAGGCAGGCCCCAGGGTTAAGACTCAACGACAGATTGCAGCAAGCCCCAACATGGGCCTCAGGTCCCAAGGGTATTTCCTGAGCTTTGGGTGCCACCTGCTTTGAGAGTTTTCGCCTTCTATTAGAATGAAACTGGTAGTTTGAAGACTATTCAGTGATTGTCGCCACTAATTTGCAAAGGTGTCAGAGTATGAATAGTCACAGATTTTAGATAAAACATAATAAAACAAAACTGATCAGCAGCAATGTTAATATCCCAATAATAATAGATCATGTAGATATCATGCAATCCCTGATATGAAGCCATGAGAAGGGCTTCATCTCTATGGCAGTCTCCCCCAAAATCCACGACCCCTATCTAATCATGAGAAAACATCAGATAAATTCAAACTGAGGGACATTCTACAAAATATCTGCCTGATACACTTAAAAAGTGTCAAGGTCATGAAAAACAAGGAAAGGCTGAGAAACAGTTACCAACAGGACAAAACTAAGCAGACGATGACTAAATGCAGAGTAGTATCCTGAACTGGACTGTGGAACAGACAAAAGGCATTAGTAAAAAAAAACTGAGGAAATCTGAATAAAATCTGTAATTTAATTAATCATGTTGCACTGATGATATTTCTTAGCTTTGATAAGAACTACTTTGGTTATGTCAAACATTAACATTAGAGGAAGCTGGGTAAAGGGTATACAGAAACTCTACTCTTTTTTGTAATTCACCAACAGCAACAGATAAACATTACTGGGAATTGAATATCCTCAAGCTACTTCCAACCAAACCAAAACCAGGAAAAGACTTGATAACACTGAACTATAAGAAAAAGTGACTTCTCACTTCTGGTTGTTCTTACTATAAATTTAAAACCATTTCCAACGCATTCGATTAGTTAAAATGTTCACTGGAAGCTAGGAATTAACTGAATTAAACAGACTTTTTTTTAATTATAAAAAATAAATAAATAAAGAATAGCATGAAGAAAGTTCAATTTTGCCAAGGAAAAATTAATTGGTAATTGAAAATTTCACATTTTTTTAAATTATAAATAAAATAAAAGAATAACATGAAGAAAGTTCAATTTTGCCAAAAAAGAAATTGGTAATTGAAAAATTCACATTTTCTCTAATTGCTGAAAATTTTTATTTTATATTTGGATTTACATTACATAGAGAATCATCTTTCCAAATCATGTTTAAAGGTTTCAAAGATTATACTAGTTCTGTTTTACTGGAGGAAAAAAAAGTCTCTCTCCATGTGTGCAAGGAAGGAAAAAAGCTTAGCCATCACACATTCACAGGGTTTTCAGAGATTCAGTATGTCCAGACTTTTTAATTCCCACCCGAGTGTCTGTGAAACTATATAACCTAGCCTGGGAAAAATCCTTTTCAAAGAATCATGTTATTTTTTTTTTTCAAGTTTTTCTTTCAGAAGCCTATCTTTCTTCAACGCAGTTTACCTAATTCACCAAACCAAGAATGACTAGGAAATAAGAGAAATTATATTCTACCATCTTTTAGAGATAGATAGGTTAAGTAAGTGGATGGACGGATGGATGGATGGATGGATGGATGGATGGATGGATGGATGGACGGACGGACGGATGGACGGAGAGCCAGAGATAGAGGCTAAAAGCTAAAATTATGTGAGCCTAGTGTGCCTGCTGAAGTCTTCTGCTTAAGGAAAAGGACTTTCGGAAACATATTACTCCTTCCAGAACCCTCAGCACTACAACAAAAATATCAACATATTCACTAAGTTTTTTTTTTTAATCCTAGTTTTAAAAAAAGTGTTTTCCCTTCAACAACAGTAGTGAATGTTATAGAAACCAATTCATGGAACCCAACACTACCTGGATGAGGAAATGATGAACGAAGAAGAGAAACAGAATTACCCAGCTCAGCTCTTTCCTATCAGAACCCCTCCTAAACATTCTTTCAGGTATTCAGAATTTAAACTAAAAGGCAAGGCGCAAAACAATTTTAAAAAGAAAAGAAAAGGCAAGTGCTATGAACAAAGTACCACGTACACAGCAGGATGCAGAGACAAAGACGACGAGGACCTTCCTGGCCCTAAGGAGCTTTGGAACTGCCTCTACCCTCCTTGGAGGTACATTTTAAGGGAATTTGGTGGGCTTTCTTGAAGATGGATCTTCTCTGAAGATGCCATTTTGCCTGCAGCCTCTCTGTTTGTTCTACTTGTCCTCCTACACTCCAGATACACAGAGTCAAAGCCAGCACCGGCATTTTTCTAATTGTCTCTTGTCGCCTCTAGATCATTACTCTACTATCACACGCCCTGACTCCAGCCTCCTATTCTCCCGCTTCTAGTGTTATTTTTACTTCTCTATTGAGACTTCCAGAGCCTGAAAGCCTGTGTTTTCTCCCTGTGTGCCATCCCTTCATGGCAGCATTTTTCTTCCTGGTTCAAGGTACAGCCCCATATACTAAAACATTTCAGATATTATTTTGGTCCTTTCTCTACTCTGACCCTCCCCAAGGTTGGATTAATACAACAATCTGCCTTCACAGTTCTCATGCCTACAGTTTTTCATTGTACAACACTAAAAGGAACTTTAAGAGGCTAAGATATTAACAATGCAAAAAATAACTTTAATAACAACCCTCTCAATTTATAGTGCAAGAGCTAATGAAGCATTTCCTTAGTCATAACCTATTTAATTCCTACCACCCTTGTAAATTAGAGACAACAGAATTGGATGCCCATTTAATAGAAGGGGAAGCAAAGTTACAGAGATGAGAAGTAACCTCTACCAAGGGCTCACCAGGAACTTCTGGCACTGCTGGAATCTGAACCCAAACCCCCTTATACTTGGCCCATGGGGCTTTCCATCACTCCATGCACTCAAGGTTCTAGGATTCCCTATTTTTAAAAAATGACATACCAGTAATGGTAAGGACAAAACTTTAACCTACAGCAGAATTATATGAGCATTTTCAATTGATTTAGAAAGGGGAATAAAAAACTTAAAAAAATAAAAGTTATTCAACTGATTCTGGTAGAGACGATTAGCAGAAATATCTTGCAAAGAATGTGGGTGTCCTGGAAGATTCACTGTCGTCATCATTATAATTTCTAATCATGCTGTGTGGGCAGGTGTCCGTGTAGCAGAAACACCATTGGCACCCAGATTAGCAGTTTCATCAGGAGACTAGAAACTAAGTCTGCAATTCTTAAACCTCAGAGCCTGAATCACAACTTTCCCCTCAGGGAACACAAATATGCAGTCTGTGCCTTAGCCAGAACTGTGGGGCCTGTCCAGGGAAGACATCAAATGTCATGTCCATCAAAAAGTGCACACAAGAACAAAGTGCAGGAGGCTTCCTGGGAGCCTGGAAATACCATTAGATACAGAGACAGGATGGAGTTGTAGTCCCACATTATGCCTCTAATTCACTGAGTAACTTTGAATGAATCATTTGCCTTCTTTGCATTTTTGTTTTCATTCTCATCTGAAACTTGAGTTTTTAAACTAAAACTATTTGTTTTCAAGTGAGACGTGGGTAGAGGTCAGGAAGGGAAGGAGGAGAGTGGTAGGATTTTGGGCTTCCCCTGCTCTGCGTCCTCCCCCGCACAATAGCAGGTCTGTTTTTATCATTGTACATTATAGACTTGGGCCACTCAGAAAGATTTAACTTAAACAAAGAGTCCAAGTCCACAAAACTCATGGACACGATCTGTGCTAACTCATCAGCTCTAACATTCTGATTCTACTCAAATATGTTTTCTCTGAGGTAATCTTTACAAAGATCTTCTTACCTAATTTATCTGATTGGGAGAAATTGTACTGGTAGACTTTAAAAATAAATCTATTAATAACATATTCCAAAAACATAACATGAAACATATCAATATCTTCCATGCCTCCGCATTAGTAGTTACCTAGAGAGAATGACCTAAGATGACAGAGATAAACCAGAGGAACAGGAAGGAACCCACGTCAATCCATAACTGTTTTTACAGGGATTTATTTATTGATTGATTGATTGATTGATTGATTGATACAAAAATATTTCTTAGATACCTGCTTTGTGATAGGTACTACGGTAGACTTGAAATTAATAAACAGACAAGGTTCCTATCCCCAAGAGGCTTTATATTATAATTGGGTTTGGCATTATTAAAAACTGTACATAGTCAAATAACTAAATCAAAAATACTGCTTAACAAAATATGTGGAATACAGCTAATGCAACCCTTAAAGGAAATTCGTACCTTATTTATATTAATAGAAAAACAGAAATGAAAATATTTAAATTAAGAATCAAGCTCTGACAATCAGAAAACAACAAAATAAACCTAGGTAAAGCAGAAGAAATGTGTTATTGAAGATTTTAAGAGAAAATAAAGAATGACAAGTCAATAAATAAGTGTGAGAGCTGTTTTTTTAAGTAAATAATAAACATTTTGCTAAACTAATCACAAAAATGGGTAGAGAAATAAAGCACAAACCCACATAACTTGAAATAATACTGTGGAAATAACCATAAACACAGATGAAATGAAAATAATTACAAGAAATTATTTAACTCCCTACAAATCATTTTGAAATAGTTGACTTTCCTAAAATACAATTAACAGAAGTATCCACAGAAGAGATATAAAAGCGAATTAGTCTAATTACTATGGAAGAAATAATATGTTGTTAAAGAGCAAATACCTCCACCCCTCAAAAGAAAGAATCAGGTCAAGGCAGTTTCATGGGGGAATTTCATCACATTTTAAGGACTAAATCATATAAATGCTATACAAACTATTTCAGTAAGAAAAGTTACCAAATTGTTTTTTATGATTTAAGCGTAACACTGATACTGGAATCTGACAGTGCTAATATACATATACACAATTTTCAAATAATCTCACTTGTGAAAATTGATGCAAAAATTGTAATAAATTACTGACTTTTAGATTCCAACAACACTAAAAAAAAAAACATAATGCACAAACTATGACCAAGTGGATACTATTTCAGGAACACTAGCACAATTTCCTGTTTGAAAAATGTTAATTTTATATTTCACTAAATTTGTAGGACAAAGAGAAAAATCTAAAATATTTTCTTAAAAGAAAAAGAGAGAATGTGTGATTATGTCCATAGTTTCCCAAAAGGTATTAGATAAACATTTAACGAACTCTTTTTTAAAAAATAAAAATAAGAAAACATTCTCATAATAGAGATGGATAGTTTTTAACACAATATATTTCTCAAACCAAAGCCCAACATCACAAGTAATAAGAAACTTTTTTAACATTCCCATTAAAGCCGGCAAAAAAAAAAAAAAAGGAAACTTACTCCAACACTGCTATTTAATATTTACTCTTCTAGAGGTAGGAGCCAATGCAATTAGAAGAAAGGAGAGAGGGAGGGAGAGAGAGAGAGGGGTGGTGCGGGGGGGTGGGGGGAAGAGGCTGACCAACTGACCAGATGGAATAACTAGAAGGAAACTTGGGGTAAAAAATGTTTACATAATCACAAAGTGAAAAAGGCATTTCTAAGTGTTGCACAAAAGCTAAAAACCATAAAGCCAAAAGACTGAATTGACTATATTTTTTTTTTTAATTTTGATTTGCAAGTTGAAAAAGACAAATGCAAAGTAGTGGGGTACTGCACCTCCTATAACAGATTGAAGGTTAATTTTTTAACTGTAATAAACTAATAAGCAAAAATTCAACAATCGAATAGAAAAGGAGACAAAGGGCAGGCAGTTTACAGAAAGGAAACACTAACAGAAGGCAAATTAAAACTACAAGATACCACACATAAGATTCTGATACAGATATGATCATCTAGACATGATTATGAGAAAAGCAAGATGCAAAATAATGTGTAGAGTATGCTCCTCTTCATGTAAATATTCTACATGCACTGGAATATAAAGGAATATAAACAAGCGCATATATATATTATATATATATATATATGTAATATATATATACCCAGTTTATTTCTAGAAGGGTATATAAGGAATTGATGACAATCTTGACCTCTGGGTGGGAAAAGTAGAGAAATGAGACAGTAATAGGAAAAAGATTTATGTTTCTTCGCACATCTTTTGGTAAATTTCAAATTTTGTACTATATTTTAGCGCAGCTTATTCAAATTAATTTTTAGTTTTCTTTAAAGTAGGCTGGACACCAACACATCAGTGACTACATCAAATGCAGGGGAAAAGATCTAGCTAGATGGCCTGCAACCCTATAACTCCACGACTCTTTATGGCATATTGCAATGAATGACCAAGGTATCAAGGTTTAAAGCCTAATGCAACTATTTAAGAACTTTGACTTTTTTGAAGTTCTTTATTCTGAGGGTCTCAGTTACCACAGCTGTGAAACAGAAAGCTAAAATTTATACCTCAACAGATTGTTGTTAAAATTAAATAACACATTAAGGAATCTAGCCTAAGATCTGGCAAGAAATGTATGTTCAATGAATGTTAGCTCCCACTACTATAAGGACTGTTCCTAAAATTATTATTATTATTTTATGATATTATTACTACTACTACTACCAGATTTAACCCAACTATTATTATTATTATTATTATTATTATTATCATCATTATTATTATTGTGCTATTCTGCTCAATCACATACATTTAACCCAACACCCACCAACAACAACTCTAGTTTCAGCTTCCTGTCTCATTGCCACAACATCTTAAGACCTCAAGAAGCAAGAATTGAATAAATAATTACAAATTCTAAATACCAGTCAGGAGAATAACTGGAAAACAACTATTTCAGCTCCCACATTTCACTGAGAAATGAGCAGCGGCCGGCTGTAGCTAAGTGGCTGGCCAAAGGGATGGAAACTCAAGTCTACTGCCTCCATTCCACAGACTGCACCACAACATCTCATGTGCTGGTAAGGAACAGGCCTCTCTTT